ATAATACCATACTCACAAATACTTTTACCCCCTCACCTCTTTCCTCACACCTCCCTCCCCACCCTTTCACCTCCCTCCCCACGCACTCTCACCAACAACTAACTACCCATCTTTTTATATCACCTTATTCACACAACCTCAATCATACCTCACCTGCCACACCCACACATAACACACACACATACACACACACAAAACATACCCAATACCCCAAAAATTCCCACCTCAGCTATCACCATGCCACCTCACCATCACATCCCACCTCACCCCACCTCAGTACCACCTCACCATCACCATCCCACCACAGCATCCGAGCTCAACCCAACTCACCAGCACCATCCCACCTCACCCCACCTCATTACCACCTCACCATCACATAACTATATAGGCGGGTGCGGAGCTGGCAGCCGTCATCCCGACTGCCTCGTCGAGGCACGGGGATGTAGATCAATTGGCAGATCGCTCGCTCCGCATGCGAGAGGTACCGGGATCGAAGCCCGGCATCTCCATTTACGTCGGCATTCCTTTTCTCGTTTTATCTCCTTCGTCCGCATTGGGCGGCCACTTAGGCTCTTCTGTGGGCGCTTTTCTCGTTTTTATCTCCTCCGTCCGCACTATTGGCGGCCACTTCTAGGCTCTTCTGGGAGAGAGATTTTTTAGCATACCATTATGTGATGTTAGAGGTGGGTTAAGAGGGAGATGTGCGCGAGCTGCGTGACCGCCGGACGGCGGGCGGGTGATTGCGACGCGCCGCCACTTTTGGCGACTTTTGGCGACTTTTGGGACGCGCGATCGATCGGCCGAGATTCGACATGGCAGGCGAGGGCGTCACGGCCATGATCGTGGCTGCCGACGCCGGCGACAACCCGCTGGCGGACCGCCGCGAGGATCGTTTGAGCGCGGAGGCTCAGAGCCGGAGGGTGGCTGGCTCATGTAGGACTGTAAAGGACCAGAGAGGCACGACGTCTAGGACATGGCGACAGACAAGACGCGCCGACTAAGGGACGTCGACGTGACACGATTGTGGCACAGAGGGTGTGATACTGGAGTAATCGACATTCATGGGGCACGGCGCAGGATGCGCCGTGCTAGTACACCGTGTGTAGCGTGTGTGAATGGTAGCACAGGCGTCCGAATTCAGACGCCCCCCCCAGGACCGATGCTGAAGGCGTCGGGGATGTACCGTAGATCGCGACGCCTGTGCGGACAAGGCCGAAGGCGGCATGAGGAGGGAGAGTAGTTGATATTCGAGAGTCGCCCTTGACGGAGGCGAGGCGCGGGGGAGTAGTTGACGGATCGCCCGAGTAGTTGTCGGATCGCTCGGCTACGGCGGAGGCGGCAGAGCACGTCCGCTTGGAGTCGAGGTTGGCGCAGGCGTCTCGAGCACTGGCGAGAGCGCCGGCCGTGCGAGGCGCGGCATCACGCTCGAAGACGAGGGCGATGCCGAGCTCAACGGTACGGCTGACGACGACGGCGTTGGCGGCGCTGGTGGCGGAGGCGCTGGCGGAGAGCTCGGCTACGGTGGAGGCGGCGGCAGGGCGCTTCCAGTCGTAGTCGAGGGCGGCGCAGGCATCTCGCGCGCGTGAATCACTGGCTGTGTGATGTGAGTTGTCACTCTCGATGACGGAAGCGAGACTCGAGTTCTCGACGGTAGCGACGGCGACGCCCTCGACGGTACGGCCGACGGCGATGGCGCTGGCGGCAGAGGCGCTGGCCGATCGCTCGGCTACGGCGGAGGCGGCAGAGCTCGTCCGGTCGTAGTCGAGGGCGGCGCAGGTGTCTCGCGCGCTGGCCCGAAGGGCGCCGGCCGTGCGAGCCGAGTCATCGCACTTGACAGAGGCGATGCCTTGCTCGACGGTACGGCCGACGGCGATGGCGCTGGCGGCAGAGGCACTGGCCGATCGCTCGGCTACGGCGGAGGCTGCGGCAGGGCGCGTCCGGTCGGAGTCGAGGGCGGCGCAGGCGTCTCGCGCGCCGGCCAGGAGAGCGCCGGCCGTGCGAGCCGAGTCATCGCACTTGACAGAGGCGATGCCTTGCTCGACGGTAGCGACGGCGACGGCGCTGATGTTGCAAATTCTAAAAAGGTTCCACCAGAGCTTGCGTGTGGCGGCGGCGGCTGGCGCCTTGGCTGGGGCGGCTGTGACTGGCGCCTCGGCCTCGGTTTGGGCAGAGACCTCGGCTGGTTCCTTGGCCTTGTGGGCAACCTGTGTCACCCGAAATCCATAGTGTCACTCTTATGTTTTTTTTGCAAATTTGCGAAGTGCGGCTTCGGTGTGCATTTTTGCGGCTTCGGTGTGCATTTTTGCGGCTTCGGTGTGCATTTTTGCGGCTTCGGTGTGCATTTTTGCGGCTTCCGTGTGCACCTGCCCGTCGCTTACCTGCCCGCGACGACTGTACCTGCACGATGGACTGCTGGTCAGCTGTGGAGGTGACGGAGGATGAGCTGCATGCTCGGGTGGAGGAGGCAACCCCGGGCGCGCTCGACGTCGCGCATGCGTTCGAGGTCGAGTCCATTGACGGGGATGAGGACAGTGGCGGAGAGCTGGACGCCGCTGCCACCGAGGGAGGCGGCGGCGACGGCGAGGCGGACGGCGGCGGCGGCGAGGGCGAGGCGGACGGTGTCGAGCGGTGTCGAGCGGTGTCGAGGGGTGTCGAGGGGTGTCGAGGTGTCGAGTTTGGCACCTTGACACGGACGAGCATGGTTTCAGCCTAGATGGTGTCGAGGGGTGTCGAGGGGTGTCGAGGGGTGTCGAGGGGTGTCGAGTTTGTCGAGTTGGCATGGGTTGTCGAGGTGTCGAGTCGGTGTCGAGGTTTGGTGTCGAGGTGTCGAGGCCAGGGCTCAGCTCTAGCCCCGCCTGCCGCCCAGATACCGAGGGCGGGGCGCACTCTTCGACTTGGGCTATTATTTGCCACCGGCCGCAATAGGTAGGTACCCCCTATTTTCGTCTTTTTTCGCTTCGCTGCGCGCGGCCTGGGGGGTAGATAGGTAGATAGGTAGGGCGTTTTGGTGCGAGTCATCAGGGTGCACAGAGCCCTATCTGGGTACTAGGAATCCTAACAGGAGCCGGAACCCTGTGTGTCGGCTCCGCGAGCCAAGAATCGTGTGCAGCGTGTGTTGTGTGTGCGTGTGGGCCCGTCCTCGGTGCTACGAGGTGTGTAAGACTGACTGACTGACTGCCGACATACAGTTGTACTACGGAGTGGGCTGCGGTCGAGCTGTGGACAGATTCGCCGTCGCCGCGATGCCGCTCTGGGCCGTGGACGACTCGCTCGCCGCGCAGCTCACCCGCAACGCACGGCAGATCGTGCAGCTCCTCAAGGACATCCAGGTCGACATCGTCCGGCACGTGCGGACGGCGCTCTCGCTCAAGATCACGGTGGTCGGCGTGAGCGTCGACGGTCTGATGGCGCTGCTCGGCGCCACAGTGATCGTGGTGGTGCTCTGCCGCTGGCAAGGCACCAGCCGGATGCTCCGGTGGCCGATCCTCCTCCTCATCCTCACCAACATCGTCGCGGATCTGGTCGGCTACCTGGCTGTCCGCTGCACGATCAAGCTGGTCGAGTGGCTGCTCGCGAGGGCAACCTCGTGGGAGGCACAGGTCCCGCTCGAGCCTGGCGAGGGGTACGCGGATTGCTGGCAAAGGCGGAGGCGCTCGACGCCAGCGACGGGCGAGCGGCGTGGCGCGCGAGGCTGGAGTCGGAGCTGTACGACTGGAGGCACGCGCAGGCGACGGCGCAGCGGCTGAGGCAGGCGAGGGAGGAGGGCGACGCGGCGGCGCTGATGCGGCTGCTGCTGCCGTGCCTCAAGCCAAACGTGGCGGGGGTGCAGGAGTACGAGCTCTACTGCCGCGCGCGCGCCGGCACCAAGCACGCCATCTCTGCGCTGATCGAGGAGGTCAGCACGTCGCTGCGCTGGACCGCCTCTCTAGATGCGGACACAGAGCTCCCCGTCGCTCCCCGTAGCTCAGCAGGTCGCCGCGTCGGATCGCCCGGCCCTTGGCACGGAAGGACGGACCCTTGTGCACCGCCTAGCACTCGAGACGACAGAGGGCGTGTGCTGGTACTCAAGACACAGCCGCCCTCTCTCACTCGTCGTTGGGTGCAGCACGTGTATACCCCCTCTCCGCCTAGGATCGCCGACACGCGCCCCACCTCTCCCGACACGGCCGCCTTCCTGCGAACCGCGCACGTCGCCTTTGGCAACGAGGCGCTCGTGCTGTCTGGCGGAGCAACGCTCGGCATCTACCACTACGGAGTTCTCAAGGCGCTACTCAGCGAGGGCCTGCTACCCGCCGTGATCAGCGGCACGTCGGCCGGCGCGGTGGTGGCGGCGATGGCGTGCTGCCGCACCGACGACGAGCTGCAGCGGGTGCCAGCGATGGCCCGAGATGGCGCGAGATGGCGCGAGATGGCCCGAGATGACGCGAGATGGCCCGAGATGACGCGAGATGGCGCGAGATGACGCGAGATGGCGCGAGATGACGCGAGATGGCCCGAGATGGCGCGAGATGGCGCGAGATGACGCGAGATGGCGCGAGATGGCGCGAGATGACGCGAGATGGCGCGAGATCAGGTGCTCGAGGACGAGAGCGACCTCTTCCGAGAGATGGGCTCGGAAGGCCCCTTCACCGACAGCGAGGGGCGGGCAGACACGGTGGGCCGGCAGCTGTGGCGGCTGCTGCGGCACGGGCGGATGTACGACGCCGAGCAGTTCCGGTGCGGCCTCGCCTGGTTCACTCGCGGCTTCACCTTCCGCGAGGCGAGACCGCCCCGAGCTCACACCCGAGATCACTTGAGATGCCACGAGAGGCCCCGAGATGCGATGACCCCGAGATGACCCCGAGATGGCCCCGAGATGGCCCCGAGATGGCCCCGAGATGGCCCCGAGATGGCCCCGAGATGGCCCCTAGATGGCCCCGAGATGGCCCCGAGATGGCCCGAGAGGTGGCACCTCGGGCGCACAAGCCCTCTGGACGTGCAGCAAGACTCTCGAGAGCTGCGAGCAGGCGTACGGGCACTCTGGCCGCACGCTCAACATCACTTGCACGCCGCTCAAGTCGCGAGGGAACGGCGCGCCGCCGCTGATGCTCAACCACATCGACACGCCCCACATCGACATCGCGTCCGCCGTCACCGCCTCGGCGTGCGTCCCTGGGCTGATCGAGCCGGTCGTGCTGCTGGAGCGGGGCCCCGACGGCGCGCTGCGCCCCTTGGACCACCTCGACGCGAGATTGTCCGAGATCGTCTGCTGAGGTTGCAATCTCGCGTAGGCGCCCTCCGCCCCTTCCACCACCTCGACGCCAGCGACGACCGCATCACGCTGCGAGACGGCTCCCCTCGAGGCGGACGTGCCGCTCAAGCAGTTCACCCGAGATCACTCGAGATGTCCCGAGGTTAGGCTCCTTCGAGTCGGACGTGCCGCTCAAGCAGCTGCTCGGCGCCTTCGGCTGCTGCTTCACGATCGTCTCGCAGGTCAACCCGCACATCGCCTGCTTCTACGCCCACCCGTGCGGCAGGTTTGGCGGACCGCGGGCGGGGAGCGGGTGATCTCGGCTCATCTCGGCTCATCTCGGCTCATCTCGCAGGCCTGGCCGGCCGTCGGCGGGGCGCGACCGCACCGGCGCGTGGAGGGGGGGCTTCCTGCTGAGCGCGATCGAGGTTGCGATCAAGGAGGACTTGCGGCGCCACTTGCGGACGATTCAGCGGCTGCGGCTGATGAGCGACCTGACCGGTTTCGACTTGACTCAGATGTGGCTTCAGGAGCAGGACGGCTCGGTGACGCTCAGCCCCGCCGTCCAGCTGGGCGACCGAGATGGCGCGAGATTGCCCGAGATTGCCCGAGATGACCCGAGACGCCCCGAGATTAGGTGACGCTCACTCCCGCCATCCAGCTCGGCGACCTCACCGCCCTCATCTCCAACCTGGAGGAGCCGGCGCAGCTCTCACGACGCATCCCCGCGAGACGGAGCGCGCGACCGCCCGTGAAGTGGACCGGCAACCGGTCCTGACTCTCAATGAACAGGCATCCGCGAGATGGAGCGCGCGACGTTCGAGGCGTCCGCGCTGCTCCGCACGCGCTTCGACGTCCGCGCAGCGCTGGACGAGTGCATCGCTGCCGCCGGCTTGCGCGCTGCGGCCTCCGACCGCTGGCTGCACGACGCGCGGTCGGCCCACACGCCCCCCTCCTCCCAGCAGCGGCGCGAGCGACCTGGTGGCGGGGAGGAGGAGCCGGAGGCACGCGCCCGGCCGCCCGCCGCGGACGACGGGTCGGCGCTGGCGGCTGGGCTTGGGGGAGGTCCGCATCGCCGCCGCGCCGCCCGCTCGCCCACACCGCGGCGCGGCCGCCTTGACGCTTGAGAGTTGGAGGGGGAGTGAGAGTCGCGGTGTAACAACATGTACATGTGCATGCACATGCACATGCAAGAGCCACATGGTCATGTGGTTATGTAGTAAGCCACTCCGCTCTCGTGGGGTTCGTGGGGGAGGAATGGGAGGACGGCACGCCACTCTTGTAGCATGCAGGTTGCAGTCTGCAACTGCATGGATTAGCCTCTGCATAGACGGGCTGATTCTACATTCCGTATTTCTCTGAATATGCAGAATGCAGATGCAGAATGCAGAATGATTCACGAGAGGAGAATGCAGAACCCAGCCCAAAATGTTGTGTCTGCCGTATCTAATGTGAGGTATGTGGTGCAGCAGGATGCAGGATGCAGAATCGGACCCAAAATTGATTCGTCTTTTCTGCATGGTTGCAGGATGCAGGATGCAGGATGCAGGATGCAAAACCAGACCCAAAGAGCGTGTCCGTCGGGTGCAGCTGACAGTGCATCCGCATCCTGCATTCTGCATCGGGTGCTCGCGTGCTCGGTCTGCCTGTCGGTAAGAAAGTTTGTTATTCTTTTCTCTTGCGGGCTCGAATGCGGAATGGTCGCGACGGCATGTGTCTAGCCACGTAAAAATAAATAAAACGCGGACACCTCACTAGGAGATGCAGATGGCCGGCGACTAGCCGGGGTCGTCCTCCCGCTGGGGGACTAGCACTAGCCGTCTTCCACATGGTCCCTCGGGTCCCTGCTGCTCCTAATCTCTTCGTACATCCCTCCTGCTGATCTCCGCAAAGTCCTGCGCCTTCCCTCGTCTCGCCCTGCGCGTCTGCCCCAACTTCTCCCCCGTCGTCTGCCCTGCGTCGTCTGGCGGTGGGTCCTCCATAGTCGGTCGAGGTCGCCGCCCTCCCTCGTGCCTCTTCCCAACGTTCCCTCGGCGGCCGATGCCGTCTGCTCCGACTCCCCCGTCCCCGGGTCTGCCCTGCTCTCGTCTGCGCTAGTCTCTGCTTCGTCATCACTGGCGTCTCTCCTCTTCTTTCTCCCCTTCTTGTATGCGTTGCACATCGCGTCGATTCCTTTTCGCGTGAGCACCACCCTGAAGCCCGCCCAGCACATAGCGGGTCAGCCTATATCGGAAGAGCTAGAGGGCTCAGCCACCCCTCCACCCCTCCACCCTCCACCCCTCCACCCTCCCGGAGCGAGAGAGGTCCGTCCTCGAGCCTCACCACTTTCCCCAATTTTTGCATTTTTTGCATTCGCATGCATCACAAGAATACAAATGCATTACAACTGCGTTCGCTGATTGCATTTCGTTGCATTACGAAACATTTGCATTTTCTGCATTTTGCGCGTGATTGCATTTCGTTGCATTATGCAATATTTGCATTCGTTGCATTTTGCGCGTGATTGCATTTCGATGCAATATTTGCATTCGTTGCATTTGCGCGTGATTGCATTATATGTTGCATTATGTGTATTCGGGGCATGACTGCATATCTTTTGCAATTTGAGGGCAAGAACCTTAGGCAAGTGCACCACCCAGACCCCTCCCCCCTCCCCTCAAGTACCCCCCAGACTCCTCCCCCCTCCCCTTCCCTCTCCCCTCCCCTCCTACTCCTTCTGCATCTC